GTTTTGATTGTATACCATTTCTAAAAGACTGTCATTTTCAACAGATTCTGGGACATTAAGAAGAATTATTCGTGGTTTCCGTCCTTCAGCTATGTGGCATCTAATTTTTTCTTTAGTGGATGGAATCTTTTCGATTGCTTTCAATAATTTCTCTCCGTCTTTGTAGCTACCAACCCTAAAGCAAGCTCCTTCATTCCTTATCTTCCTGACTCCTTTAACTTTTAAGCCAATATTAGCTGGGTTTACCTCTGTCATAATCGTATTCACAATGTTATTTATGTCAGTGTGCTCTTCTTGAGCCCCTTGAGAAGGATAAACGAGAACAGCATGTGTTCCACCTGTGCCCTCATTGTTAATCTTAGATGAGAGAGATTTCGATATTATTTTGGTTGTAGAACTTGAGTTATTAGTAGTTTTCACTATTTCCGCATAAGTTTTCTGTGGGATATTAGGCATTTGTGTCTCTGTGGGTCCTCTTTTATTTTTCCTGATTTCTTTAATTATTCCATACATTTCATGCAGATAACCATATAATTTTCTTGCACATTTCCTTAATTCCAATCTTTGGTTGACTTTGATACTTGAGTTAGTGTTCCCCGGACAGAGGTCAAGTACACGACCAAGTAAGAATTCACTGTCCCTAATCATTTCCTCCTCAGCTGGCTCCCCCCGGTCGTTTTGTGTTTCAGCCAAAATAATTCGTGTCTGCGAAGAATTGATGTCAACGTCATCAAAGGGTGCTAAAACAACCCTGGGATCGTTACATTTCATTTCTCTCCTGATATTGTCCATACTGTCAATGAGCACCTCGAACAATAACCCAGTGAAAAGAGCTCGAGCCCGAGAAAACCAAAGAATAAAAGACAAACCAAAACAAAAACCAAAGAACCCTACAAGCTATGACCCGAGAACTGAAATATAATACTAAAATCCCGAAAAAGAATTCCCCCGAAAAAAAAAACCCAAAATCCTTAAAATCTAAAGTATTTATATAATGAGATCAATAAATATTTAACTAAAGCTTTATTATTATTTAAATTAAATGAACAAAAAAAAAAAACCGTTAACCAGAACCGTTAAAAGTTCGTTACTTTTGAAAATTTCCATAACTGGTAATGCTATAGAATAAAACGCTTATATCACCGTTAAAAATACACCGATCTACCCCAAATTTACACATCTAATACAAAATGATATAGTAAATACAACCCCCAAATCTGCGTCCCTTCCGATTTATCCCCCTCCCGCAAGAGCCTACTGAAAATTGCAAAATTTAAAATCCTTTAGCTCCCACCCTAATTAAGAAAATTATATAATTAATATACCATATGAACCGGGCTGAAGAGCTCTTTCCACAGATGTGTAAACTAAAATGGTATTCCGAGAATAACATATGAAAAAGCACACGAAACCAGGAGCCACAACTGACCGAAGTCGCAAGAAAAGATCAGCCAACAGCAGTGTGGGAAGAGTACAAGAACAAGGTTTCAAGGTTTCTCTAATGTTTGCTTTCATACTGTAATTGCATACAATACTTATAAGTATACACAGTAGAGTAATGGGACTTTACACTGATCTTGAATGTATCAGCTGCCACTTACACCAGATGTGACAGACCCCATTTCCTTGCCCGTTCCTTCCATTTCTTTTCAACATTACTAAATTGTAGTTATGACAAACTTTAGTCTGCTTTGAAAAGAAAAAAACCCATCATAACACCCAAGCTGCCTCTTATGTGAACCATTATTACAAAACAAAATTGACCTATTTATTATAAACATAAGAAAATAACTTGTGCACTGTATAAAACAAAAAACTTGCTAGTTTGGAGTATTATAATAAAAAAATTATTATAAAAGCATAAATGCTATTTTTTTTAAATTATTGATCAAAATTGTAGAATTTAATGATTATTAGTATTTTCTTTATTTTTATCTTTTCTGACAAATTCCAAACATTTATAAGCAACAAGATATATTTCGTAACTTTCAGTTAATAAAGTTTTCATTCAAAGCAATGTTTATTAGTTATTTACAATCATCATCATCATCATGCATCTCCATTTAAAAAAATAATTAGTATTCACTGTTGAAAATATATAACATTTATTACTAGCTTATTACTAGCTTTTACATTATCAATTAATCCATTTAAGTCCAGTTATCTGTACAGTTCTTCAAATCTGTTTGTATGGTTTATGCTTTGAAATAATCTGTTTTGAAATTCAATTTTATACATAATTAATTAAGCTTTAACTTTAAAGAAGTGATTGTTTATACCTATAAGATCATAGATACGTTCCATTTTTTAGGAATCCAATTTCTTACGAGTCGTTCCAATCACAGCCCGACACGTGTAAAGTTTACAGACTACGGCTGATTGAAAGGTTTTCTTCCATAAAATTAATCGATTCTAGACTAATCCGACTCAACATTTCCAAAATATGTATATTTTTTTTGGAAATAATCCGTATAAACTACGCTATAAACAAAAAATTGTAGGATTACTTACCGAGTGTNTAATAACTTGGAGTTGCTGTGAGAAAATCAACTGACACAGATTAAAGTGATTTTACATACTACCAAAATGTTATTTTTGCTTTAATTTAATTACTTCAATTAGTTATTATATTAATATATAATTAAGATAAAATTTCTACAGATATTTTGATATTCTAAATTTAAATTTAGTATGTAAAATTATAATATGTTAATGCATTTTACAACTTGCTTTCTTTTTTTTATTCTTGGAGATAACCAATAAATCTTAAAATGTTTAGATAAGTTTTGAGAGAATATTTTTGGTAAAATAAAGCATTTTGTATTAATAATGTGAAACATTATAGTATTATTAGTTCACAAAATAGCATTATGTGAAGCATTAATAGTATTATTACTTCACAAAATAAAGCATTTTGTGAAGTAATAATACTATTAATTTTTAATTATAATCAGTTAATGATAACAAAAAAATAAATTATATGTATGCTTTTTATAAGTATCCAATGAGTTAAATGCAAAATTTATATTTGTAACTAAAAATAATAATATATTTACTTTTTTATCTAAAGTTCTTTCCTTTACAAATGTTAATAATTCATCTGAAATGCTATTAAAATCTTTCTTCGCAGCACTAATTATAGCCATAACAACTTCATATCTTACAACTTCTTCTGGGTCATGTTGACGTAACCTTAATTGTTCTAAAAAAATTAGAAAAAAAACAAAATTAAATTCAGAAAGTATAATATATAAATATATATAGTCTGCTCAGAGAGTTCCAGGAATAAGTCAGTGAAAAAACAAATACATCTTACATGCAGCAATTTTACTGATTTAATTTTCAACACATTTCAATACATGACTTGAATTGTTCCAAAGGTTTCTCAAGTGCCCTAGAGAAGTCATTAACTGGAATGTTATTCAGATATATTGTCACTACCCTTTTAATGTCTGGAATGAATCCATATTGCATTCCCTTCATGAGTAACTTAAATTTTGGGAACAAAAAAGTTTGCTGGGAACTAAATCTGGCAAATAAAAAGAATGAAAAATCACTGTCACCTAGTCTTTTGTCAGAAACTGGATGGCAACAAATTAGGAGCATTGTCATAAAGGAAGCAAACTCCATTTTGATGCAAAATCCAGTCTAACTCAAAAGATTCTCATGAGAAGACAATCCATCACATCCTTGTAGAATAAGGCATGACTGTTCTTCAGGAACAAATTTATGAAGAATAAAACCATGAGAATCAAAAAACACAATGACAGTTGTTTTGATTTCAACCTCACAGCACTCACCTTTGGTTTTGACTCTCCTGGATTTGCTCATTTGCTAGTTTGTCACCAATCTACTACCAAGAAGCTTTTTGCCTGTAATACACATTTACTAAAAATAGTTAAATGGAGCATGGAACAGGTCTCACCAATATTCCTGCTGTTCATTGCCATTTTCTTGTTTTGTGAGGTTTAAAAAAATGACAATAACAGTTACGTGCTATTAGCAGGAAAAGCTATCTGTTTCAAATTAGTGTGGGAAGAGTACATTTTCATTTTCATAAAGGGGATGAAAACTCGGGACTACTCATTGGTATTGCCCGAGTGTGAAGAAGAGTACAGGAAAGGTAGTTAAGGGAAGAGGCAAAGGGGAAAGAGTAAAGCGAGATAGGAAAGGGGATGAAAAGGGAAAGTTTCATGGGCACCCAGCCTGTTTTATTAAGAATCAAATGAAACATACAGATATGGCTCCTGGCCATCAGATACAGACAATAATTGCAATATTTACAGTATGTACAATTGAAGACAGTTTGATTACACGTAGTTTGAAAACAATTTTAACCGAAAAAACAGAAGAACATAAATCAAATCAATATTTTGAACAAATACAGTTCTT